GGCATAAGACAGCGGGGAACCCAGCACGCAGATCTCTGGGCTGCTCATGAGACAGGATGCTTCCAAGGGCTGGACTTCTGCTGCGGAGGTACCATGAAGGGGAGACTGATCAGACGTGCTCCCTCCACCAGACTCTGCGCCCCGCAGCACTGAGGCTGAGAAGGGACCTGGCCCAGCAGCCAGGGGATGGAGCAACAGGTCCCCGGGGCTGGTGGGAAGCAGCTGGGTGCGTACCGGCACCTCGCCAGCAGGGGAAGCTGGGCTGCAGGATGTCAGGGCTTGGCTGGCAGCAGCTGGAAGGCTCCTGCGCAGCGGCAGGCGGCACGGTGTCCCAGGAACAGACTCCCCCGCTGGGAGGTGAGGGAGCGGGAAGGCGCTGGCCCATTCCCAGGACCAGTACCCTCCCCCCGCCACGGCCAGCCTCCTCATCACGCTCTATTATCACTGCAGCTGTAAGAGCAGCGTGAGGCGCCGCAGATGGGCCCTGTCAATCTCCTGTGATTGAGGCAAAAAGCAATATTAGCTTCCCCCCCGCAGCCCCGCCTCCAGCCCTGGCAGTGCCCAGACAGCAACAAGGGACCTAGCTGTGCCCTCATTGTCACCTTGCAGGGTTTCCAGCCACCCCAGCCAGGCTCTGGCCTTGCCCTCGTGCCCCCACTACCGCAGCCCAGAGCTAGCTGTGAGCAGACAGCTGCCTGCATGCTGTGGCTGCTAATGAGTCTGTAACTATGGCTCCAGGTGGCTGGGCTCAGACTGGCCCATGCGGGGGCAGCCACTGTGTGGGCAGGGGGATTGATGCTGTGTGGGCACCCTCTGCTCTTGCAGGGTGAGGATGGTGGAAGAGCTGCAAAGCCACAGAACTGCTCTCCTCCATTGCTCTGCTGGCCCACCTCAGCCACCCCTCCGAAGGGGTCAGCTTACAGGACCCACAGCCCCCTTGGCTGGCTTCTCCAGGCTCTGCCCCCAGCCAGTGCAGCAGTCTGCATCCCGGGTGCCCAGCCAGAATGGTCCCCTGCCTTGCCTTGGCCTAAAAGTTGTGGGGAATCAGACCCCTACACACACTGCAGGAGCCTGTCTGGCAGCAGCAGGGTTGGGGAGGACCCTGTCTGTCCACACCCATGGGCTTCATGCCCCAGTCTGTTCCTGGGACTGGACATGCCCCCCAGACTGACTGTGAGCTGGCACCAAAGAGGCTGCTCCAGGGGAGGCCTCCACAGATGCCAGGGGGGATGACTACAGCATCCCCCCTGGCAGCTGACTACAGAGCAGGTCATGGGGGCGCTCAGCCTCTCCCCTGTAGCCTGTGAACCATTAATGTCTCCACCCTGCACACAGTCACCTTCACAGGCTGGATGGTAGCAAGTCTAATGCAGCTGTGCCTCAACACACCCTGCAGAGCCCGACTGAAGGGCTCCTCAGAGACCCAAGACAAAGCGCAAGGTGGCTACCCCAGCCCATCATAAAAGAGTCTGTGGGGGTGCCCATAAAGAGGCCATAGGTGCCTGCTGCAAGCACAGCTGGGCTGATAGGCCAGCTCAGACCTGTGCTGCTGGCTCAGGTGACTAGGAAGCTTTCAGGGCCAAATCTGTGGGAAGCAGAGGGAAGGAGGGGCTGGGGCAGCATGGGCAGGGAGGGCGCAGAGCTGCAGTTGGAAGGAGGAAGGAGCGGCTGGAAACTGCACGGGGGCCTGGGGTTATAAATCATCCTGCCTTCACTGCGCTGAGCACTGGTTCCCAGGAAGTCGAGCAGCTGCAGGGCAGCAGATGGGCTCTGGCTTTGAATGAGTGTCTCCCATGTGAGAAAGGGCATCAGCTCCAGGACACAAAAATGGGTGAAAGCAAGTAACTGTGCACTGGACATTCACTGCCAGATGGGGCACTGGATAGCAGGGGTGCCTCGGCCTGTGGAGACTAAACCAACAGACTGGGGAAGAAGGGGAGCAGCTGGCACGTCATGCCGTTGATGGAAAAGGCCGTGTGCAGCTCAGGTGGACACAGCTCCACACTGGCAGAAAAGCACTGGCAAGGTGGGGAACACAGCTGGCAGCCCATTGTGGGGTATAACAAGCCCTGGGCCCTGACAGCCCCCCGAAGGCTGACTCCACCCTTCCCTGTGCACTTCAGATCCAGGAAAGGGTCCCGTCAGGGTCCAGCATGCTTTGCTGTTGTTCCTGGCTTTCAGGAGGGCGAATGTCATCCAGCCACCCATGGCCCAAGCTACCCTGGCCTTATCTACCCACTTCCCCCCTCCTCTGCTGCCACTTGTCCTCCAGCCGATCCAACTCCCCAGCCACGTGCTCATGACTCACCCACCCTTCCCTCAGCCACCCACTGAACCCTCGTGCTCACCCTCCTCCCCTTCGCTCCGCACTGCCTGACCTCAGCCTGCTTGCTAGGTTATGAGCACCTGCAGTTTCTGATGTCACCATCTGCAAACACAGCAACCCCTACCCTGGCACACGCTGTCATCAGAGCAGCTGCCAGAGAGAGGTTTTTTCCAGCCTGAATGAAAACAGCCACCACGGCTCAAATGCAACACGACCAATTGCAACACAGCAGAGAGGAGCGCAGCAAGGACACTTGCAGCCAGGCCTGCTGCTCTGTACCTCAACAAAGCCCTTCTCTCACCATGGGCGACTGGTGTGGCCTTAGTCGGGGGGGGGGGGACACATGCCCCCCCGTGACCAGTCCAACCGACCAGGGCTGCAGCCACTTCTGGGAGCAGCTGCAGCAATCAGCCGGTGCCTGCAGAGGGGCACCAGCTCTCCCACCTGCCGCCCTGCCCATCACCTAAATGACAAGCATGGCTGGGCAGCGGGGTGCACCAGCGCTCTCAGGGGGTGCATGTACACCCCATATGCGCCACCACTGTCTCTCACCATGACACACAAATACACACACGTGTCACTTGTTCCCCTTGAGCCCTCTGCAGATTGTACATAAAACGTGAAATCACAGACTCTGCCCAAGCCAGGTAAAGGCCAAGCAGCCCCTGGAGAGGCCTGCTCTTTTAAGCATTGGCCAACAGGCTGTGCCTTTGCATTGCATGTATACTGCAGCAGTTTTGCGGCACCAGCTGAGACCAGTGGCCTGTTGTCCTTGAGGAGCTGGCACAGTAACATAAAGTGACTTGACCAAAGTCAGCTGTGGCAGAGCCTGGAGACTCCCAAGCCTGTGCCTTTGCCATCAGGCATAGTCTAGCCTGCCATGCTAGAGCTGCTGGGAGAAGCTCATCCCGGAGAAAGAGAGCTACTGACCTTGCCTAGCATTGCTCAAGGGTAAACATGAGCCTCATCCAAGCTGCCTCTGGGGTCTGGGCAGACAGCTGCAAGAGTGTCCTCAAGGCCAAAGCCTTTCATGTCTCTGTGCTCCAGACATGGTAAGGGTATCTGAGCAGCTGCCCTGTGAGCTCTCCTAATGAACACGGATAGGGAAAGTTGGGAGGGGGTTCAGAGAAGAATTAGGAAAAGGGCCAAGAGGCTGGAGGGACTGTGGCCTGCTTGCCAAGGGCTAACTGAGAACAGCTAAAGGAGAACAGTCCCTCTGCAAGGTGTAGCAACCCAGGAGAGAGGAGCTGTTTATAACACAGAGTAATGGCGTTGGCATGTAACTAACAGGGGACTGAGACTGAATGGCAGGAAAAGCTTCCCTGGGCTGGGGTGACTTAGACTGCAGGGGGTACAGAAGATAGTATGTGCACGTGAACTACATGCACGAGGGGTGGTTGCAGGGGGCTTCCTTGATCACTCGTTCATAGGGCCACCATGTGCCCCAACTCGTGCGGCAGGAAAACCCTCCAGGCGCCACCACCGAGAGGGGTCAGTCACCCGGCAGTGGGTAGGAAATGGCGGGAACCTGCTGCTTAGCCCTGTGTGAAACGCAGGTCATTTGAACACGTCTGTGACAGACAACCCTTCCCATTCAGTTCCTGAGTGAACTGAGAGGATGTGATAGGACAGGCAGCCAGGCTGGCAAGCTAAGCTTACCTCTGTCCACCTTGCCAAGATTTCCAAGCCTGCAGGCTGGAAGATGAGCAGCGCCGCAGCCCTCTGTGACTCAGGACCTAGAAGATTCCAGGCAGGGACACGCAGCCAAATCCTGCGCCGGCCTCGGCTGGCTCGGCTCCCTCCGCGCCAATGGAACGGCATCAGCTTACACCACCGGGGAGTTTGGCCAAGCATACTGCAAGAGATGCTGAGAGAACAGTTAAGAAGCTGGAATTTGGGACAATGTGAGCTGGGCCACGTGACACTGGGGATTGGGGGAGAGAAGAATCGCTCCTCTCCTTACACTGGTGGGCAAGGGTGGCTTATGGGCTCACGGCGCTGGCCCAGCTATTACTGAAGCCAGCTGGAGCCTTACACTTCTTGTCAGTTGGAGCAAAGTTAGGACAACAGTGAATGCTTTTAAAAATACCTTTCTCTATTTTAAAAGGCTTTATTTTGTGGTGATCTGAAATGAAAAAAAGAGGTCTGTGCCCTTCTTTGTGTCTGCAGGATGCACAGAAAGCTCAGGCTCATTTGATCTTTTTACATTTGTCTCCTCTAGCCTGTTTCACTTGGAACGCACAAGAAATGACTGGAAACATGGCTGGCTTCTGGCATTAGAAATATCATCAAAGTAACACACCCGGGGCTCAGTGCAGGGGCACCTGGTGAAATGGAGTGGTCGATATTTGACAAAGGGTCAGACTAGGCAACTAGATAGTTGCTTCTAGTTTTAAAACTATGAGAATCTGTGAATTTGAATTAAGAGAGTTAGGGAGAGTTTTTACTGCTCTGAGAGTCTAAAATTAGGGGACTTTGCTTTTGTTAAGCCCCTTATTTAACTCAGACCCCTGAGAAACACTGGGGAGAAAAGACTTCTTTGTTAAAAACGTAACATTCTTCCCTGAAGGAAGGGCTGAGAAAGCTCATGGCGCACTTCCAATTACTCCGGCTGCCAAATCAGACCCAGCGTCCCTGAGATTTCTGAGAGGAACAAAGAGCTCAAGGCAGAGAGACATCCATCCTGGCTTGCTCTGTCAACAGTGAAGCAGCAAATTCTCTGCCAAGACCCACGGGGGTGCGAGTGTCCCTTCCAGAAGGACTCACCCCACCCTGCTCCTGACCCATCTTGCATTGTGCGGTTTGATCAATGCTGCTCTCAGGCTGGGGAGCTGTCTCCTCTCCCCCCACCCTCTCCTTTGGACAGAGGGCAGCTGTAAGATGACAAACAGACTGGGAGTAAGTTGGCAGAGTCCAGGCCTGACTGATGTTCATCAGCAGTTACACGGCCCTGGTGTAATTTCCATTAATAGTGAGCTGAAATTCTTGGCTAAAAATAACTGGCTGCCTCTTCATAAGGGGCTGGCGGGAGGCAGCTGCTCCGTACAGACAGAGCTCGCTTTGCCGGGCTGCTGAGGTGGGACCTGCAGGAAGTGCAACATGTCGGAGCGCCGAGTGCCCTTCACCTTCCTTCGCGGCCCCAGCTGGGACCCCTTCCGGGACTGGTACCAGGGCAGCCGCCTCTTTGACCAGTCCTTCGGGATGCCTCACATCCCCGAGGACTGGTACAAGTGGCCCAGTGGCACCAGCTGGCCAGGCTACTTCCGCTTCATGCCCAGCCAGGCTGCTGCGCCCATGGTCGCCGCTGCTGCCAGCCCCATCATCACCTCGCCCACTGCCACCGGCATTGACTATAGCCAGGCCCTGAGCCGCCAGCTCAGCCGTGGCATCTCGGAGATCCGGCAGACCTCAGAGAGCTGGAAGGTCACCCTGGATGTCAACCATTTTGCCCCAGAGGAGCTGGTGGTGAAGACCAAGGACGGCATTGTGGAGATCACTGGTGAGTGCTGCCTTTAGCTTCTCCTGTCTTGGGCTGGAGCACAATTGGCCTCCCATGGGAGCCTTTCTATGAACCCATTCCTCACCTTATGCCTGGTGCATGTGTAACTTAGCGACCAGCATGAGCTACCTGTCCCCTCCCAGGCCAGATCTGTGAGGCTGTTCCAGCTCCCACCTAGCAGTCCCATGATGATCTTGTCAGCTGTAGAGACCCCCAGATCCTATCCCCAGATCTGATCACTGGCCCCAAGCCTCTAGATTTTGCCCAGTTGCAGGGCGGGGGATGTATGGTGGCAGTGCTGGCTGTCTTGTGTCCTTGCAATGCTAGACCTAGAGGGAAGCTGGCATGGCATCACTCCAGTGCCTGCCCCTCTGCAAAGCTGGCGGCTGAGGACTCCATTTCCCCTGGCTCCCTTCTCAGCCAGACCCCTGCCTCCTCTTCCCTTCTCCTCCTGACCTCGCTGCCTTGCTGAACTAGATAACAGCCCAGAGTGAGTTGCTCCCTCTGCTTTCAGCATGGGGGAGTTGCTGGCTCAGGTCCCTTCTTGATGTAACTCCTAAGGGGGTTTGGTCCAAAGATGGTAGAGAAGGAAGAGCCCCACCTGCCTCAGCCCTACAAAGTCCCTGGACTTGGGAATGGAGGAAGGAGTTGATGTGGGGGTCAGATCAATTATTCAACCCGATTCCATTATTTTTAAAGTAGCCCTAGCAGCTTAAACCCATTGTGCAGGGCACTATACACTCACACAAGTGAACAGCAGCTCCTGCCCCCAGAGAGCCCCCAAAGGGCAGGGGAGGGAGACTGAGGCCCAGAGCTGAACAGGGACTTGCCCAAGGTGACGCAGTAGGTGTGTGGCAGAGGTAGAACTAAGACAGAAGCCATTCTCCCTGCCACAGCCACCTGCCTGCACTGTGTCCCAAGGCCCTGGAAATCTTACCCACAACCCAGGGCTTCTCCCTGGGCAATCCAACACCAATGGGCCTGCTGGGCAGAGCTGCCCCAGATGCAGCAGTTGTCACTTTGGGGGAATCACATGAACACAAATCACATTCTTTCCACCCTTTCTCCCCCACCCGATCCACATCAGCGCAAGAGCCGACCAGCGCATTCACAGTCCTGGATCCCATCAGAGAAATGTGGGTGAAGGAGGGAATGGTAACAAAATACCTCCCCCCACCCTCAGTCCTCAACCAGTTCTACTCAGTCTCCTCTCCTCAAACAAAGTCTAACTGAAAACTCTGTGTACAATCATCGGACTTGGTGATCTGTTGAGTTTCCTTCCGACCCTAACATCTATGAATCGATGAATCACCTGAACCCCCAACAAATTCGACCAGGTTTCAACCCAACCCAAAGAAACCAACACAGCTTTGACCTACAGCTTGGTCTGATTGCCTGTGAATCATCCCCTCCCCCACTTTGTTCAGGGAATCTTTCAAACCACAGTCTTTTTGAGCCAGATCCCCAACCAGTGTAGACAGACATCAATTTCAACAGTGCTATATCCATTTACACCCAGTGAAAAGCTGACC